CCCAACTCTTCCTTTGAGCAAAAAAAAAAAAGTTAAATTCTTAGATTCTTAGAATTTAGACCTTTTTCTTTATTTCTCTTAAATCAGTTGGAAAATTTTCATTGATATGGAAAGGAAACCTAGAATAGATTAAGAAGAAACATCATGGACCAAACAATGATATTTCAATAGTCTTGTTTTTTTAAAAAAAGAGCTGGCATATTTAGACTGTGCTGAGTGCAGCTTATTCAATGTTATAACTTAGTTCTACCATTGGAAAAGCTAATGTTTCTAGGGCACGTGCTTGGTCTTCACAAGGGCACAAGGCAGCCTTGTTCAGGCAAATAAACAACACAGTGTGTCTTAGGCTGATTAAAGTGAATCAGTTACAGCAGCCTACTTGACAAAACTCAGCTGTTGATGTAGCACTGAGTGGTTCTGTTCACCTGCCACCTTGTTCCCTTCTGCTCTGAGGAGCCAGTATTTTGAAAGACAGCTTTAATTATTTACACTCAAAATGTAGTTTATTCTGCAGATTAAATGAAAAGGATGAAATGCTTGGGGGGGGGAATAACACAAATAAACTCCAAGCTGCTGGACAACTAGTCCCTTAAAAGGACAAAATATGCAGGATCATGTGGACTGCACAGATCCTTCCTTTCAGACTCCTGGCAGGAGACTTCCTGTTTGGATGTAGGGCTCACAGTCTATGCAGTGTGCTAAGATCTAAGCATTTTCCCCTTTTTTCCTCTCCTTGGCTTTTCTGTAGGCAATTCAGACTTCTCATTCAAGAAAACTTTCAAGCACAGAGTGGCTCTCAGAATGTAAATTGGAAGAAATATATTAGATGGCTATGCTGTCATCCAGCCTGCAAGTAAACTTAGACTTATGTAAAGCCATAGGTCTACTCAGAATTGCTGCAGGATATTGATTAACTGGTGGTCAATTGACACAACAATTTGTAGGTTAAGCAACATCTTGCTACTAACTAAGTATGATAGACTATGATTAACTAGGTATTAATTTCTTCTTCTTCTTCTTCTTCTCCTTCTTCTTCTTCTTCTTCTTCTTCTTCTTCTTCTTCTTCTTCTTCTTCTTCTTCTTCTTCTTCTTCTTCTTCTTCTTCTTCTTCTTCTTGTTGTCATTATCATTATTATCATTATTATCATTATTATTATATTTTATTTGTTTCTTTATGTTTACAATTCATACATGCTTATTAAACAACATGTTGTCTGGGTCTTAGCTTAATAACATAATAAAATCCTAATCTCTATCCCGTTTTTCTAGCTATTAGTAAAATACATCCCATATTTGAAAATATTCTGTATCTTCTTTTTCTTTAATCTTCAATGTGAGTCTATCCATTTCTGCACATTCCAGTATTTTCTTAATTATGTCATTTTCAGATGGCATTTCTTCATTTTTCCAACAATTCTTGCTGCTGTTAATACATGCACCATTAAATATACATTTTCTTTCTCATATTTTCCTGAGATTATACTTAATAGAAATAGTTCTGGCTTAAAATCTACATGCTTTCTTAACATTTTTTCTAACCAAGTATGAATTTTTGTCCAATTTTTTTTTTTTTTTTTGCTTTAGGGCTTGTTCACCAAAGATGATAGTACGTGCTTGGTTTTTGCTTACATTTACAACAATTGCTAGACACATTTTTAAACATTTTTGTTAGTTTGGAACTAGGCATTAATTTCTGATACTTTCTTGTGTTCTGCTGTGAAAGGCAAGTTAAGGGCAGGGAGGAAAACATCTCTAAAGCACCCCTAAATTCTAAGCAAGTATAATTCTTAGCATTTGCTACCATGGCTGCATTATTGGGACTGGCCAATGATGTCATCTCACTGTTTTTCAATGAAATTCCACAGGGCTCTTGTCTCTAGGATTTAAGAATTAGGAATTAACAGGGGTGCACCGTTCTGGAGGTTGCTTTTGGATTAGGAAAGACCCCATCTCTCCGCACGTACTTCATATTCCCCTCTTTCCCAACTTTGACAGTATTTATTACTGTTGTTATTTTTTGCTTTATTATTTTAACGTGCAGTATTTTTAATGTTTGTAAGCCACCCAGAGTCATGTCTGGATAAGATGAGCAGCATCTCTATTTAATAAACAAACAAACAAAATTAATAAGTAATTTGACATTGCTTGGCTTACAGTTAATTTTATTTGACTCATTAGTGAATTACAGGACAAGAAGGTTTCACCTACATACCTGAGGCCCTTATTGTAGGCATAGAAAGCAATGCCAGCTTTACTATTTGGAGTAAACCAATTAGTTGTTTCTTTCTATATTTTACCAAAATTAAATTCTGGTAAACCACTGAAATAGCAGTGATTTTCATTGACAAATAATCTCTGTGGCTTGTTATTCAGCTTGATAGCTGGGGTCCAGCATTAAACTGTTAGCTTTTAAATCTATATAACTTTGCTGATTTTTAAGCATGTCCATCAACTTGTTTCAATTGTTCCTAGTTAAGTTTCACTACAGCATAGGGATGTATGCCATGCAAAACAAAATATTTTTGAGTTTAATTAAAATCAAAAGTTCAAGTTTACAGACTTTTGCATTGTGATTGAGGAGGTATATAATGGAATAAACCATTGCCTTTTGTTGCTAGGATTTCACCCATTGGTCATTACTCAAAAGATCCTGAATAGTTGTATTTTTCCTTATCCTAGCTCTTTTGCAGGACATGGTAGCCTTACAAATATAATTAATTCATAAATATTGTTTTCTGGTCCATTCACAGTTTTACTTTTTGGACTTAAGTTTAAGTAGTTTATTTAATATGATTTAAAGAATGCCCAACTCCAAATAACTCTGGGCAGCTTACATTAAAAAAAAAAGAGTAAGAACAGCAAAAAAGAAATAGATCATAACTATACAGAAGGGAAACTCTGTATAACAACCAAACCTTCTAAAGGGCTCAGCCACCACTGTACTCCAGGACTCTGGGAGAAGAGTCACGAAACAATCAGAAATAGACAGTCCCGCAGATAGCTAGGCTCTATGCCATGAAGGACTGTATACGTGATAATCAGCATCTTGAACAGCGCATAGAAGCCAACTAGTAGCCAGTGCAGCTAATGGAGTAGCAGCATCACATGGATAGAATGTGTCGTGAACATCACTGCCTAACCACCAACCTGGACCAACTGTCCCTTTTGAGTAGTTTTCAATGGCAGCCCCATATGGAGTACATTGCAGTAATCTTATTTCTTAGTGACTATAACATGACTAATTGTCTGAGAGGCTTCCCATTGAAGGACAGACATAACTGGTGCACTAGATGAATCTATGTAAAGGCCCTCTTGGCCACAACTGCTTCCTGCTCTTAAGAAGGAGTTATAAGTCCAAGACAAGCTCCTGATTGCACAAAAGAGATGTACAGTGGATATTGTCAGCATACTGATTACAGCTCACTCTAAACCAGCAAATAGCCTCACCCAGCAGTTTTATATAGCTGTTAAGCAAAATAGAGTGCTGAGTTTGAGGCAGGCCGTAAATGAGGGGCCAACAGACTTGGTCTCTTCCCCCATCAACACCAACTGAGGCCAAAGTTCAAAGGTAGGAGGGGAACCTTCTGCATGGTACCTTTATTGTAAATCCCCACAACCAGTTCAGAAGACACTAGGAAGGATGCACCCATCTCCATCAGGCTCTGTCAAAGGTCATTGACAAGTATGATCAGAGCTATCTCTACTGTACCCTGCCATGAAATGGATCCAGATAATCCATTTCTTCCAGGATCTTTTAGAGCAGGGCTTTTCAACCAGTGGTACGGGTACCACCTGTGGTACATTGGCACCTGGCAGGTGGTACGCGACCATCCTAAAAAAGTGGTAGCAGGGGAGGAGAATGAGCTGAACCGGTGGTAGCACCGCACAAGCCTGAACGAGAGATGGCTGGAGCTGCAGGGCTGTCAGGGCTCAGCGGAAGCGCCAGGATCAGTGCCACTTTCCAGCTGATTGGCGCTTCTTCAGGGCTGTCAGGGCTCAGTGGAAGTGCCAGGATCAGCGCCAGGCTCCAGCTGGAGTTCGGCGCTGATCCTGGTGCTTCTGTTGAGCCCTGAAGAAGCACCAATCAGCTGGAAAGCAACAATGATCCTGGCACTTCTGCTGAGCCCAGAAGAACTGCCAATCAGCTGGAATGTTGCAGCATCTCCAGGGTCTTGTGATTTACATTCAGATGCTTGGCAACTGATTCATATTTATGATGGTCACAGTGTCCCAGGGTCATGTGAAGTGACCAAAACCTGCTGCAACCACCCAGCAGACAGGGGGAATAAAAATCAAACAGCTCCCCATCCCACCCCCTCTGCCAATCCTCAACAGAAATGCTCACAACAATGAAAATCTCGGACAGGAGGAAGAGCGCTGCTGGGTGGGCAGGCAGGTGTCTTGCTCAGCTGTGGCTTGGGGGGCACTTTTTCAGTGCCATTGTAACTTCAAACGGTCACTAAGCGAACTGTTGTAAGTCAAGGACTACCTGTACTTTATCACTTTTTTCCTTTTTTTTTTTTTTGGTCATCAAGTTTTTGACACCTTGCTAGGTGACTAGTGGTACTCGGATATTGCCATATCCTAAAAGTGTTACAATGGGTGAAAAGGTTGACAAGCCCCTGTTCTATAGTATGTTATATTACCTCTGGGTACTTCTTGGCTAGATCTTTTTTTTCTAACTTATACCCAGTTCTGACACATATATTATATAGTTATTTCTCTGTCCCAAGTGAATGAAACTGTTCTGGGTTAAACAAACAAAGAAACAAAACCAAAATTGATTAACAAGTCTAAAAGTTGCTTAGTTTACTGTCTTATATTTTCCACTAAGATATCCCAGAGAAAGTCTTGCAAGACAGTGTTTGTTAGTCATTTTATTATTTAATATTGCCTGCACCTCTTTCATCCCCATTTTTTTCAAAAGCTTGCTTAGATACTGTAGTTATCTCAAAGTATTCCATTCATGGCCATTCATTTGGAGTCTTTATAATGTTTCTTCTCCTTTCTCTGCAGATCATGACTGTTAGATAGCATCCCATATCACAATGACTATGGCTCCCCGAAAACGGAGTCGTCATGCTTTGGGGTTTCTTTGCTGCTTTGGGCGGAGTGATTTGCCTGAAATCAACCTCAAGGACAATAACCCTCTGCAGTTCTTGGAATTCTCAGTGCCAATCCCACCAGCCGAAGAACTGAATGCAAGGTTCTCTGAGCTTGTGGTAAGTATATTTAATTTTCTGGGAGGAAATGTTTCAAATTTTGAGTATCTCTGTGTTAAAACCTCTCTGTTTAACATCTCTGAGTTAAACTTGAAAGAAATTCCAGCTCTCAACACACTCTAGGTATGTCTTGGCAGAAGAGTATGGAAATTGAATGGCATTAGAGCTAAAGATACATACAGTACAAGTGTTACAGGTATAGATAGGAATGGCAATCATCCAAACCTAATTTAGTATAACATATTATATGAATTTGCCATTGTTAGTCATTCAGATTCACAAAGGCACTGATAATTTGGAATTATTTGTTGACCTTTAAATTTGCAGAAAAATAAACATTTTTACCCCAGAGCTGAAGTTCCCTATCTGGTTTTTTGTTTCTCTGTTTTGCAGGACAGAAAACATCATGCAAAATGATTACTGTATTCTGGACTGAATCTAAATGGGGGAAAAAGGCACAGGGGTTTATGATAGTGGTAATCTGGAATAGAAACAAGGATTGTAGGTTGTGGAATCTGCCTCCTAGGCTTCTGCTTTGAACAGATTGATAGCAGGCGGCTGCATTTGTATTGATTGGTTGTGCTGAGGTTTTAATTGAATCAGAAAATTCAATTGGAAAATGAAGTAGTGTAAATTCAGTGACCTGGAAATGTTTGAAAGAGTTGCATATATTTTTATTAGCAATTCAACTCTGCAACCCACTGTTGTGCAAGGGGATGTAAGTACTCTCATTTGGTGCCATTGAATAGTGGCTTGAATGAGTGGATGTTAAATGGGGACTACCTGTCAAATTTTGACTTTTGATATTTGCCATTTGCTTTGTAGAAAGTATAATGCAATGCTTTTGCATTTGATTCTCTTGACATTTGTACAAGCCATGAGCATAGGATCACATTAAGCATAAAAATTTGGGTCAATCCTCTACCTTCCTTTTTTCTTACAAAAAAGTAGGGGGTAAAATGCAGTCTTAATAAGAAATAAGAAAACAAGCTGCCTTTCTTGTCATCAGTAAATATTAATTATCCTTGGATGCTTTATCTGCTTTTCGGGAAAGCATCTTGGCTACTTCTTGGACATTGGTTGACTTGCTCTCTCTGTCTTCCTTCCTTCTTGATTTTATCATTTTAACACCACTTTCAAAAATACCTTTTGATTAGTTTTCTTTCTGCAGTCCAAGAAGTAAAAAAGCTCCAGAATTTCTTAATTATATGTTCAGACACCAACCTAGGGTTTTATGAATGTTATTGGCTTATCTCCTTTAAGAGTTTGTCTAGAACTGAGCATTGTTTAGTCATTTATCCAGGATTATTGTTAAAGGGAAAATAGTAGGCGGATCAGGCTCTGGTCTCGCATGGAGCTGTTTATTTAGCATTTTCTGGATAAAATGGGTTTCCTAAATTTGTGTCACTTGCCTCTTTCTTGTATGCAGTTTAGAGGCAACAGATCATGCGATGAAAAATTAAACCATTGGAGACCTTTTCTATATTTATGTGCAAACATAGTGCTGCTTGGTATGAGATGAGCAGCCATAGAAATGTGACCAATTAATTTTCCTTTCACTTTTTCAACTAGTTTTTCCTCTGACCTTTGGGAAATGTTCTCTTCTCATCTTGTTTCATGATAACCTTATATTTCCTGCTACACTTTATGTTGACTCTTTGCTTGATGTCTGATCACAGTTAATTTCTTTTGTGCCCTAATAGCAGATGAGTATTGGATTGTATAGTTAGTTAGTGCTAGCTTTGGCTAAAACACCTGTCTCTCATTCAGCAGTCAACTTTGTCTACTATTTGACATCTTAGACCAAGTAGAACTTTTGTCTACTATGCTTAATGACTTCGGGAGTATATATCACAATGCTAGTTTTTTTGTTTTGTTTTTTACAGTTATGTTTATAGTTCAATGCTATTTCATTGTTCTGCATGCTGACTTTATACAATCAGCTGAAAGCAAGCATAGAAATAAAAAATAATAGCGATAATCATTAAAATTATTCTAAGCACTTGGATAAGAATCTGCTCTTACAAACTGGGCCATAAATTCCTCTTCATTAACCAGACTCTGTTGAACCTTGTTTTGACATTCCTTTAGGAAAGAGGAAAGTCAGAATTCAAAGAAAGTGCTTTATAACTGAATTAGTTTACTATCTTATCTAGGCCTTGCCTTAAGATAGGCTCTCAGATGTAAAGGAACTTCTTGAATTAGTGTTGACTTTCTTTTGGCCTTCTTGGAACAATGCAGAAAGACCTCCCTATATTAGAGGATGCTGGCAGGGTATATCCGTACCCCAACAGTTGTGAATCTGGCCCATGGCCATAATTCTAGTGTGTCTTGGCTAGTTCCCCATTTTTCTTTGGCATGAATCACATTATTTGTAGTGAAGTACTTTTGCAGTTGGTGGTCTGTGCAAAATGTGCCAAGCTGGTTGTATGTCTGCTGGCAGTGCGGGCTTTTATAAGAGCATATGTTTTTCTTTGTGCAGATTTATTGACTGAAGAGGAAATAGGAGAATCTGGAAGACTTGCTCCCCTACCTCCTTTCCCTAAACTTTCAAGGTGTTATAAACTGCCATAATTCTATGGAATTCTGGTGGGGTTTTTTCCAAGGCCCTCTAGAACATAATACAATAGGTGGCAGCATTTTGGTTTATAACATCCTTTGATATTGCAGATTTCACAAATTAAATGAAACATTTTCCCCACAGATTGAAGCATGAAAGGAAAATAAAAATATTGCAGATTAGAGTTGTTAGACAAGAATGTATTGTCAGCCAGAAGTCAACATAGAAAAGCAAACAAAGCTTCTGGGGAAAGGGACAATAGCAATAATAAAGCATAAAATCTAATTATAGACTATGGGATCCACTGTATTACAGGTCTACTCTGCTTACAGCATTTTATTTTTATTTTATTTTATTTTTTAAATACAACCTTGGAAGTACAAGTACACAATAAATCTCTTCTAAAATGAGGCATTGGCCAAACCATAATATGTTTGTCAGGAATTCATCTTGATTTAGAACTTTTTCTCCAAGTCCTCTTTATTTTTGTTGCCTCTCATGTTGAAGAAATTGTTATTGTAAGTAACATGGGCTTCTTGTTTTACTTGTGCAATCTGCTCTGTAATTTATATAGAAGCCTAAACCATCCTTGTAGACCTCTCATCCTCTGACAATGTGTATTTTAATTAATGCTTTATTGCAGAATAATGCAGAACTAAGAAGAGAAGGTTAGAATTTTACTAGACATCCTGTGGTCCATTGGGCCACTGTTTCAGAAATGTTTCTTTACTGAAACAGAGAAACAGAATGACTAAAGGCAGATTAAAAAAAAAGCAGTGGTAGCAAGGGCAACTTCCAACTTCCTACCGGCTTCTTCATTGAGTTTCCTTGTGGGAATCTGGCAAGGAGCATTGGAAATCTTTCCTTCCCTTCCCAGCAGACAGGAAAGTGGCTGCTGCTGGGTGGGAGAGGGAGCGAAGGATTGCAAGATTGGCTGGGAAAGTGTCATGGAACATTGAAAATGAAGATCACATGACTGCAGGATCAGCAGCCAGCAGCATTGAAGCAGACAAAACTTCCCCAAATTTCATTCCCTCAGGAGTTCATGTGTCCTGGATTTTGAAAACATTCTGTAAGTTGGCCCATTGAAAATACCTTAGTTCAAAAATTGTCACCTTTTGTTGCAACATTTCAGTCAGTTGTCGATCATGGCAACAATAGTTTTATTTATCAAATTTAGGCACCAACATTCTCACTATCTGAGTCTGGGCAGATAAAAATTCATAAACATCTCAAAAATACAGTTAAACCAAAATTAAAATAAAATGACAAACAAATAAAAGACAGACAAACAATAAGTTAAAAGGCAGAGGGAGCTGTAAAGTTCCTTAAGCAACTTTTTAACATTGTTTTAAAGCCACCCCTCAATCTATTATTCTTTCATATCTGTCAATCTAGATCTGTCAATCAATAAATCATTTCCAGGAGCTGAATAAAATCCAAATAACTAAACAAACAAACAAACAAATAAATATTATAATAGGCATCCTGTGAAGCTGGTTGGACAATTTAAAAAATATACAAAAAAGTAATTCTTCACATAGTGATAATTAACTTATAGAATCTATCACAAAGTGTAGTGCTGCAACTAATCTGGAGAATTTTTAAAAGGAATTGGACAAATTTATGGAGGACGTCTATAGAGCATAAATTCATAGGACTTTCTGTCAGCTGAGTTGATCTGCATGAACTACAAATTAAAGGCCTTTTATCCATTCTTAACTTTTGTGCATGTAGAAATGCTTCAAAAATATTTGATGCAATAGCTAAATATAAAAATGTAAAACATAAAAATGCAAAAACCAAATGATGATGCCCATAGGTTTAATTACGTGCCAAGATTTGTCTTTTCTAGGATGACTGTGGTGGTAGGGAGATACACATAAAATCAGTTACTCATTAGGATGCTTCATTTGCAAGTTTGTGAACACATCCAGTACTCAGGATAACAATCCATTTCTTTAAGTAGGGCTAAATCCAGTAAAATGAAAATGTATTTTTATCCAATCAGAAACGTCCCATCCAGAGCCCACAAATCTATACCAGAAAGTTCATTCAGAGCTCTGAAATAGATGGGTTTGAAGCAGCTAGGGGAAGGGACAATTCACTTTGATTGCATTTTTTTTCTTTAGTGGCAAGCCAGTCATATATCTTATTGCATTCCAGAATCTGGTGATTTACCCCTCTCTCTCATTCTTCTCAAACACAGGAAGAATTTGTTATTTAATTAACCTGAAATTATTCCTTTCTCAAATACAAACCTTGTATGACTGATTGACGGAAAGAAGCAGCGAGAATTGTGTTTTTGTAAAGTTACTCCCATGTAATGAATTAATCACCCTTGTTTGCTGCTGAACAATACGTCTACTTCCTCTAATTGTTGAGCAAATAGTAGTGCGAAAGTACATAGATTTGGCAAAAAGCCATCAGTTCCCTACTG